TGGAGATTTTTGACTCCTACCTACTCTAGTTCTCTGGTAATTCCTACTTAATATGAATAAATAAATAAATTACACTGCCAACAAACATCCCAAATTCCCCTGAGGAACTTCCACTGCATGCAAGGGATACATTTTGAATATTATAAGAGAATTAGTTTCAGCAATTAGTTTCAGCAAATGGCACAGAATATCTGTCTGATTTGAAATGGAAATCATTTGTGGACCACGGACGCTTGTTTTCACGCTGGTTAATTGATTAGGCGATGGGCAGGGTGTTGGTTTAACGTGGCTGAACATGTTTGTAATGCTAAAGACGAGGCGCCGGGCCAAGAGCCGACTCTCGTGAGCAGAGTTAATGCAGAACAGGGAGATTTATCAGCACTCAGGGTCAAGACGAGCACACTTCTTCCACTGTATGCTCATTTGTTTTCCCACCCACACCCAAGTTGGAATATTCATCCAGGATTTACCAGCATCTCATTAAATGAGGAGTGAAAGAAGGAGATAATGTGTGAGAGAGAAAAAATAGTCAAAACAAAAGCCCACCTTCCTTTCTTCCTTCCTTCCTTCTAACAGATCTCCAAATATGGCTTTTGTTCAACACAAAAATACTTTGGGTTTCATTTATTATACTAAAGAAGGCCCCAATACACTTCAAGCTAAATTGTAGAATGAACTGGTGTGAATTCATTTAAAAATATATATATATTTTTTTAATTTCACGAAGTTTGTTTGGTTTGTTTTGGGATTTCGAAACAGCTTGCCAAAGTGACCTTCTGGAAAAGTTTGCTCCGGCTAGTAAGCACCTTCGAACTACCATTGGTCCATAGCGATTATGTAATAGGTAGGTGTGGCTCTGAGGCTCCGCCTTCTTTAACGTGGAAATATTCTCCGGTTCGTTTCTTCTGTTCAGTCCGTCGAGAAATCAGACACAAGTAAAACCTTGAACACACTGGAGAACTGCTTTATAATAGAAACTGAAGTTGTAATTATTGAAATTGACACTGGCACTATTTTTTTTTTCGTCATGTTTAACACTGCAAAGCTGCTTGCTTTAAATAAATCTATTGTAGGCTATAAACTAGTGGTAAATAAACATGGTGTGAATTTACTTGAGAGCTAAATTGCAGAGCTGATGCAAACATATCAGCATCGCTATGATCAGATGCTTTCTTAACTGCTGTTTACTCACTGGTGTCATTTTTGTTGTGTTCATTTTGTTATTGAGAGGAAAGCGTGAAGCACATATTAACATTTAAATGCCGCTCTCAGAAGTGTGGGTGGAGTTTGGAAAACTTTTTTTACCCCTAAGCGAAGAACGAAAAATAACTTCACAATGAGTATATAATGGCCTTTAACAAACCAAATATGAAACAACCATATGTTCTATGAATTAATGAAAACAAACTAATAAGACTGTTCTAATCAAGCTCAAGCATTTAACATTTAACTCAAGCTCTTTAGTTAGTGACTGTGCCGTTAACTTGAGGTGTGTTATGTGGAGCAGATCATGCATCTGGGTGAGGCCTGCAGGTCTACATGACATCATCTACAGATGCAGAGAATGATGATTACTGAATAAGAGAGGGTTTCACATGATGTGAGTCCCATTGCATTTCCTCTCCATCACACCTGTACTGATGTTTCTTTACCTCATATGTCTGACAGAAAATGTCACAACTAAATCCATCAACTCAGCTCTGATATGTTTTCCCATCTTCAGTCTCTATCTAATAAATGACTGATATGAGTGTCCGACTGATGAACAGGGCATTGAATTCCATTTGATAGATCTGACCAGAAAAAAAAAAACAAATAGTTTTTTGATTGATTACAAAGGAATAAAATGCCCCCTAAAGTGTATTCGTACATCATATTAAAATATTATAATAAATATCATATTAAAATTTCTGCACCCATTGTACATCACATTTAATTATTTTAGTGCTTCATTTTTGCAGCACTTTGTAAAGTTGCTTTTTCTGTTTTTAACAGTGTCAGAGGCGAAGGCAATAACTTCTTGAAAACAGGGAAGAAACCTTTGGAGAAACCAAAGTACCTAAATGGGAGAACAAATCTCCTCTGTTTGGCCAATATACAGTCCATCTAGAATTTCACTATTTTGCAAACACATAATTGAACGCAAATGAAAGCAAACTCTCGCATTATTTGTGGCAGCTTTTTTTTTTTTTTTTGCTTATTTCCACACATTTTCCACAAAAGAATGTTAACTTCCTCTCATCGGGTCATTTTGACCCAAAGTATATATATATATTTTTTAATTAGGTGTTCATCTGAGTGGTCTAAGAGCTTGCTTAAAACTTTCACATTTGAAATGGGAATATACAAAAAAAATAAAAAATACTTCCTACTTTTTTTTTCCTACTATGGAAGTCAATGGGGCCCATCAACTGTTTGTTTACTGAAATTCTTCAAAGTTCAAAATATCTTCCTTTGTGTTCAACAGAAGAAAGTAATTCATACAGGTTTGAAACAACTTGATGGTGAGTAAATGATGACAGAATTTTCATTTTTAAGTAAACTATTAATTTAAGCTATTGATTGTTCCCTAAAATTTCACTTCCAATCTTTAATCTTATACTCTTTATATCTCCCTTATATCAATAAGATTCCAAAAAGCACTCAAACTGAGCCCATCAAGTAGCTAAAAACTCCCTATTTATGTTAAATAACGATAATAATGTATTTATCTCTCACGTGTACTTATCTATAAGCAAAAAAGGTAGAAAACACACACATCATCATTCTACAAACACCTTTAGCTATAGAATTAAACAAATACATACCAACATTTTTAATTATGCATTTACGTTCAACTTTCCAGTCATTTCTGAATACTATGAATTTTTAAAAATCATTTTGATTCAGAACGATTAATGAATAATTCACACTGGTTTCTGAAGCAGTTATTCAACTCAACAGAATGACTCACTCACAAATCAACATCATAATAGCTTGCATCCAGGCCAAGAAAATGTAAAACTTGTAAATCAAAGTCAACAAACGCAAAAGTGAATTGGATGCTCCTAGCTCAAGCATCTGTGCATGTTTTGAATAACTCGAGTTTTGCCCTGCTGCGGCGTTTAGTGTTTTTGCATTAGAAATGCTTACAGGATCCACATTTGGGTCTTTGATGCTTTATAAGCGAGATGTGGCTGCTGGCTGTCTCTCATATAAAACAGGTGTTTGTGTTCACATGCAACATTTGTTTGTCCCGGGCCAGATGTGCGATCCCTTCTCTGTTTACAAGCGATCCTGAAGAGAAGATCACCATTTTCACCCTTTCACTCAATGTGTTCACAATTACGACACCGAGTGACGGTTGGTAAACAAGCAAATAAAATCTACTCACACAGGAATCCAAACAAGCGATCTCACTGACACATCGGTAAATAAACTAGTACATTAGCATGCACCTCAGGCGTCCTCAAAGGAAATGGCAGAAAATTATGGGATATGCATCTTGGGATGTGAATCGTGAGGAATGTAATGATTCTGGATCTGATTCTACTTAAAGTTACTATAAAATCAAAATAGACCATTCTTATTGTTAATGGAACATTGCAGTGTTTATTATAAATGATTTATCTGTGCACATCATTATTTTTATTTTTAATTCATGTGCTCTCGTAATCTTTAATCAAAATAAGTTCCCCTCACTCTTCTCTTCTCTGATAACCAGGGCTTGACATTAACTTTTTTCCATACCAGCCACTAGTGGCTAGTGGTCTTCCAAAGTTACTAGCCACGCAGCATTTTCACTGGCCACAATTTTGTCATCGACACCATGAGGAAAAACTGTCATATAGATATTCTTGATATTATATTAAATAATTTGGCAGCAGATATATTATGCTGCTGTCACTTTAAGACCTGATGCACGGATCCATTATGTTACACATGCGTTTTCTTTCTCAACTGTTTATGTTCACTTTAAACATAACTGAATGTTTACATGAACACTCACCAAGAATGGCATTTTGACATTATTTTGTGTGTATTTGACTGTTTAAGTCTAATAAGCAGTGAAAGAAGTACTCAATTTTTAGTACTGAGAGGCGGCTTTATGTGCGGGCACTTTGGGTTTGAGCACAAAATCTGCAAGAATAAGTAAAAGTATGCACAATCCCACGCTGAAATTCAAGCCCTGTAACCCCAACAATATTCATCCGGAGCAAATGAAACGAGTGAGTGAGCGGAGGCGGGTTTGCGTGTCAACCCGTTGTCAGAGAGATGAAATAGCGAGAAAGCTTAGCTGGTATCGTGTATCTATTCTGCGGAAAATTTGTATTGGAAGCGTTTCAGCTCTTTCGGTGTCAATATGTATTGAAAAATCGATATACATTGCACTTTGTTTATTATTTTAGATGCCTTTTTAAAAGACTGCAATTGAAAAATGTATATATTATACATAAAATTCAACCCACCAAAGTAGCTAGTAGGACTGACAGGCAGGTTGGTGGGTGTTAATATCAAGCCCTGCCGATGTCGTTTGCTGGCACGGGAACAGCGCAACCTGCACTCACATGACATCAACCAATAGCAAACCACAACCAACCAACAATCCAATCAATTCCCGATGGACAAAATCAAATCCCGCCCCACATTTTTGTTCCTTTTTCACACAATAGGGAAGGAAAGACTTATCACAACTTCCATTTTACGACTTTAATGATTCCATTAAAATGAATTGAAATGTTTTGGTCTATTTCCTGGAAATTAAACTAAAATTCAACCTTGAACATGAAATGACTTAATTTAGCTTCTATGAACAACTTGATTCCTGCTTTGAGGAGAAAAGACAAAAAATAGCAGCATGTATTCACAGCAGGTGACCTAGCAGCTCGGTATGTGTCCACCACGCTCTCGTGACACACTGACACCATTCGCAACGCTGCGTGAAATCCGGTGTGACGCCCCGTCGCTCTGAGAGCATGACCCCTGCGGACTGCTGGAGATGACAATGAAAGGACACTTACCCTGGCGAGGAGGCTGATGGGGTCGAGGCCGGACGGAAGCTCAGAAAGATTGAAGTTCTCTTCGCCAAGATAAACCTGCAGTGTCGTGCAGAGATGCCCCAGGCCTTCCTTCTTCTCCTCACTCATGTCGGCTAGATCTAGACACAGAACACAGCGTTTTCAACCTTTAACAACAGTGATGCATTTGAATGAGCAGAAACTTTGTTTTGTTCTCCTCTCCTTTTAGACAATATCACTGCTGCTGCTGTATGGTATATATCAAAGTACCATGGTCTTATCATCTAAAACTCTGACTGCACAACGGTACCACCACAGTACCATATTCATGGTCCATGGTATATATGCGGTACTGCAAACTTGTGTGGTAAACTACTGATGTCACCACACATCAATACAAAATACAAAAAAATTTAAACAAAGTATTATTATATGTACAAAAATACATGGTATTACTATGGGACTATAAGCAGTATTATCATTATGGTATGTATATGTCCAAAAGATGGTATTAACATGGCACCTGAAGAAAAATTATTGTATTACCATGTCCAAAAACATAGTATTAACATGATATATGTCTAAAAACAGAAAACAAACAAACAAGGTATTATCATACATACAAAAACATGTTACAATATTAAATGTAAAAAAAGCATACCATGGTACATTTCTGCAAAACATAGTACTACCATGGTACATGTTAAAAAAAAGTGGCATGATACATATAAAACCATGGTATTACCATGGTACCAGACAAAAAAAAAATAGTATTACCATGATATACATACAGTATCTCTCTATATAAGTACATATTAATAAACACATGGTACTGCCATGGTATCAGAAAACACTGATTCCAACGTATCAGTAATACAGTTTTGTTATTGTTAACTAAAACAAACTAAAAGTATTAATTGAAATAAAGCTGAAATTAAATTACATTTAAAATTAAAACATAAAATAACTCAAATTAAAAGTGCATTGGAAAGTAATTGTAAATAAAATAAGTTTAAGATGAATACTAAAAAAAAAAACTAAAAAAACAGAGAAATATAAATTAAAGATAGATAGATAGAAGTATTTAAAAAAAAATTACTAAAACAAAATTTTAAATGAAAACTGAAATATAAAAATATAAACTAATTCAAAAATAGTAATAAATACTATAACAGTATAAAACAAAAACTGCAACAAAACAAAAAAAAGCAAAAATAACACTGGTTGGAATACAATGCAAATTAATAGGGCAGTAATATTGTATGGTAATCATGTAATGATAACCATGTCCAAAAAAACCAACAACATGATAATTAGAGTCCCAAAGTTCCACCTACAACATTATAATATGTTCCTGTTAATATGAATTAAAATGTATTAACCTTATAACTGTTCATAAATTACACTGGATGCAGTATTAAATAACATCAAGACAAGAAAAAGAGGAAGAGAAACAAATTCACATATAAATTGGCATATAAAATAACATGCTGATATAAACAACACTGAGATGAACCAGGAAAAAGGTTAATGATGATCATCAAGGGTGAAGCACAAAAGAGCCGACACACAATAAGAAACCAGAGGAGGATAAAAGGTTCTTGTGTGTGTGTGTGTGTGTGTGTGTGTGTGTGTGTGTGTGTGTGTGTGTGTGTGTGTGTGTGTGTGTGTGTGTGTGTGTGTGTGTGTGTGTGTGTGTGTGTGTGTGTGTGTGTGTGTGTGCGTGTTTGTCGTCACCATTTGGGTGTGTTTACTTGATGAAGAAGATAATTAGGACAGTTGTTTACTGTGTGTGTGTTCAGAGAGCTTTGTATTTCCTGACTGTACCAGTATAATGGATAGTCTGGTGGAGATTTTAATGTCTATTCAGAAAGAAAGAGGTCTGATTGTGTGTATGCGTGATTTATGTCAGCTTTGCCAAACATATGGGCTTTTCCATTAACCCTCCTGCTCTGATCTACTTCCTCCAAACACACCATCAATGAACTTCAGTGTGTTCACTGCTGCTGTGGCAGACTGAGCGAACGTTTGACCCGCGGCAACAGCTCACGGCTCGTATCTCTCGCTCACACAAACACATTCAGAATCATAAACACAGACATACACACAGTAGTAAAGCTCTGCAGATTCAACACATAAATCTGGTGCCAACACATAAAACAGAACCAAATAATACTGTTTAGGCTTGTTGGAAAAACTGAAATTGTTAAAATCCATTCTTTGGATAATCACAATTAATTTTTTGAAATTATAGATAGATTGTAGATGATAGAAATAAAACAAATAGCAGGCAGTAAACAAGCACCAGTGGGGTCTGAACCCTCTCTTCAGAAGAAAATAACAGGGCTGGATGGCAGACAGATCTACATGCTTCCCACTTCTGGGGCATGAGAGGTTGAACGTGTGCAGAATTATGAGCCTGAAGCCAAGTGTTAGTTTTCTCCTTAAAGGGATAGTTCACCAAAAAAAAAAAAGCTTTTTTGGACCATTTATGCATCCTTATGTTCTTTCAAACCCTTTTGTGGAACAAAAAAATTATATATTGCAATATACAAACTGCGCTTTTCCAAACAATTAAAAGGGTCATGCAATCAAAAAATTACCTTGGCATTTTGAATATAAGAGGTCTTTGTACCATTAAAACATCTTGCAAATTTCATAGCTTAAAACGTCCTCTTCATTATAAACAAAGCATTTATTTAATCATTTGCATTTGCATATGACTGCCTCAAGAGCAAATCATCGACAAATACTTAAAGTCCCCCTGTGGTGAAAATCAAGCTTTTAATGTTGTTTATGTAAATTTGGTGTTTTTAAAATGCTTTAAGACAAACCATGTGCAAATTCATAAGTCAACACCATTGCTAAAAATTTTTTCCTTAAAGGTGCAGTGTGTGATTTTTAGAGACATCTAGCGGTTCGGTTGCGAGTTTGCACTAAGGGCTCAGCCCACTGCTCACCCCTCCCTTTCGAAGAATCTACGGTGGCTAAAACGGGACAAACATATCGTCGTCTGGAGACAGCAGAGAATAGCCAGAGTTAGCCAAGAGTGTGTAACATTGTCACTGTTTCTGTACCACAGTCCATTATAAACTACATCATGGATAAAGTTTACAAAGCCATATAGTCAGGTGAGGATCAAGGGTCTTAATATATAATATAATAATAGTAATCAGCTGATTGTCTCACAAACGTAACCAGCACATTTCTCCCCACATAGCAAACCCATAATACAGCGAGGGAGAAGAACCACATGAAACTATGCAACTATATATGTTTTCTAACAAAGTAGTAAAAGTTTAGCTGGCTAAATATGAGCTGTTACTGTGGCTGAGCTGGTTAAAGCGTAAAGCCTGTTTATACTGGACGCGTCCGCCTTGAGCCCAAAGGTGCGCGCGGCAGAAATGACATGATTGTAACAGCGCGCGCGCCTCCGTATCCCCTAGACACCATTTACTACACACAATAGGCTTTTTTTCTCTGATTTTGAAAACTCTTCGTGATCGACTTAAAATGCTTCCAAGATCGACTTATCGACTGCGATAGACGGGTTGGTGATTCCTGTAACATACTGTTTTACGGCCAATGGCAAGAATACTGTCTCACGAACGTTACCAGCACATTTATCCCCAGCAAAACCATAACACAGCGAGGGAGAAGAACTAAGTTACATGGACCAATCCAACTACATATTTTACACCACTGACAAGGGAAAAGTCACTACTCACGGTGTTTATGGCTAGCTTCTAGGTTTCTGTGGCTTCTCTTTCAAGGTAGTGACGAAACGCGCTCTGTAGCGCTGTTTGTTTGCGTTCGGCTACGGTAGAAAGTAACATGACGTAACAATATGTCGACCTTCATAGAAGGGGGTGCCCGCGGTTATGTAGATATAAATGTCTCATTCTAAGGTAATAAAAACATTACGGTTTATTAAGTAAGTTCTTTATACACCACTGAAAACATAGTTAGGGATGTCATATTGCATTTCTGTTAATAGATACTCAAAATTTTTACACATTGCACCTTTAAAACTGCAGTGAACCAAAAACGCGGTTTGAAATCGCTGGTGTTTCTGACGTCACAAACTACCTTGTAACCAATCAGGTCAAGATGTGATCGTCAACGAGTGGATCTCAGAGCTGGTGTGAGTGAGTGGAGGCGGGGCTAATTTGCATATTCATAGAACCGTATAGTAAATGAGGTAAGGGTGTACTAGAAGTAGAAGTTATTTTAAGACATGAAGAATTTTCTTTAAAAAGGAATTTTTTTTACATATGTCATATTGGTGATCAAAGATGAGTTTTAAGGGATAAAATTATCGACTACAGGGGGACTTTAATACATAATATACTAAATACATAATCGCACATAGGCCCCACCCACTGGCATTCAGTCGCTTAACAGCTGACATTTGCCTACACTGGTTGTGAGTGTCTCGTCAATAGCAAATAGAACCCATTATAAACACTGAAACTGTATATACTGGATACAGTATACAGATGTGCGTTCAGCTTCTGACACTCCCCGCCTACTCCCCGCGCCTGAGTCTGCTGACGACAGGACAAATGGAAGAGTAAATGGCATGAGGCATAAAACAAAAAGCATAAAGGAACGTTCGCTTCGATGTGTCCAGTTTAAACAGCGTGTTTGCTTCTCTGGGCAGACTTCAGAAGGATCCCAGCTTCAGAAATGATACTCGGTTACTAACGTAACCTCGGTTCTCTCTAGAGAGGGAACGAGTATTGCGTAAGTTTAGCTTATGCTACGGGCAAGATTCATCTTCTCGAGATATTGAAGCCAAAAAATGATCCTTAATTTTGTATTCATTGTCAACGCAGTGCAGCAGCTAGCAGACCTAGAGCAGGCCATCTCGCGTGCTCATTGGCTGCCCTGCGGCAACTGCTGCAGCCTACCAGTGAGCCCGGCGTGACGTCACGCCCAATGAAGGGCGCCCGCGCCTTCATTGCGTCACAGCCCACCAGAATGGGCGTGGCTTAGCGTATAAAAGTAGGGGCTGTAGGCTGACTTCCCTGGTTTTTCGTGGACTGAAGCGAAGTTGCTCGTGGCGCGAGCACGGCCGGTTACGCAATACTCGTTCCCTCTCTAGAGAGAACCGAGGTTACGTTAGTAACCAAGTATC